AGGCGCTCGTGGGGGAGTGGAGGCTGAGGTGGCGACGATATACGACACATAAGGCAGGAACATCTATCTCGTATTTCTCGTTGCCACTATCCACCGTGTTGCACTGCACTATACGTGAGGTAAACTGTTAGTTACTGCGTATTGTCAGGTGGCGCCCCCTGGTGTCGAGGAAAGACACGTAAAACGCTACAATTGTTTCAAAAACAAAACTCTCACACCTTTTCCTGTGTGTGACAGAACTCGCCGAATTCCAAAATTGGTTCATTGTTTGTGGACCGAGTCTGTATACTGTGTGCAGGCTTCCAGAAAAGAAAGGGGTGCCAATGGTTGAATGTTGGATATGTAAAGAATGGTTCCATGCAACATGTGCTAGCATTTGCGAAAGTGTCTGGTCCAATCGAACTGAAGTTTACTCCTGTGATCAATGCATGTCAGTCAACAAGCAGATACTAGGTTCCTCAGATTGAGGTATTAAACTAAAACGTGGTCACTTATGCTAGCTTTAGCTTGCGGTATTAAACTTAAATTATCCTTAGATTGAGGTATTAAACTAAAACGTGGTCACTTATGCTAGCTTTAGCTTGCGGTATTAAACTTAAATGGTCCTTAGATTAAATTTATTTTAGCTGTGTATTATTGTACACTATGCGTTGGTGTTCATGTTTCCATTAGTCGTAGCAGTGTGGGTAGTTGCTTAAATGTTGGCTGGGCAGTAGTGTACCCCCTACAACCCGGAACATTTGTGGCAACTACCGTGCACTGTTACAAATTTATTTCAGGTCTCTTTTACTTTAGTATTGTATCAATGAGTATGCGTGTCCATATGTTTACTTAGATTATCGGAATTAGCGTAGTTAAGACGTATGGTACTAGGACATGTTTTGCATACATTGACATATAAATGCTGATGTGTGAGCTTATAATATGACAGCATTACTGCTTGATAACTAACGATTGCACATATCTATTTTACATATACGACATTGCAGCTGAGCCAGAACCTATAATTGTCCGCTATGATGATTCTGTTTCAGACGATTCCACGACGGACGAAGAACCCGAAATGCCACCACCGCCCCTCCAGTATGAAGTCATCGACCCCGCATCGCAGCGTGGCCGCGTCAAGCTTGCGGATGACCAAGGATTCACGTACACCTTGTACAGGTCTAATGACGTCACTACCACCTGGCGTTGCAGCGTCCGAAATAAGCGCGAAACATGCTTGGCACGCGTTAAGCAGAATAACAATGACAATACATTCATTGCAGGTCCCCAACCACATTGTCACCAGCCTGTGCCGGGTGCCTCAACAGCTCTTAAAGTGATTGCTGACGTAAAGAGAAAGGCAACGAGGAGCATCTTCCGCTCCGCCCCGAGCATCGTCTCTGAGGTACTTGCTGAGAAATGTGATGGTGGCCCTATAGATGCACTACCCTGCATAGATCACCTGGCCCGCACTGCAAACAGAAAAAGGCAGCAGATGCGGCGTCCCCATCCCCGCAATCTTGATTTTGATATAGATAATACCTTTGTTGCAGATGGGTTCATGCGGCGCGACATAAGAGTGCGTGAACGCAGACACCTGCTGTTTGCCCTTCCCCTTATGATAACCCTGCTAGCACAGACTACCCGCTGGTACCTTGATTCGACTTTCAAAGTCGTTCGTGCACCCTTCATACAGTTGTTTTCTGTGCATGCCTTTGTTCAGAGTGACGGCTACATCAAACAAGTTCCTCTTGCTTTTGCGCCCATGTCTGGCAAGAACCGCTGAGATTACAGTGCCGTTCTGCGCAACCTTGTCGAGATTTTTCCTAATGACTATTGCTTACAGTGTTGTTACAGATTTCGAGTGCGCTGTCTGGAAGTCCCTGGCCGAAGTTGTACCGGAGGTCCGTGTCATGGGGTGCTCATTCCATTGGACACAAACAGTGTGGCGGAAAATCCTAAAATCTCGGTCTTGTTCGTACATACCGAGGGGATTATCGCATGTGCAGGTATCTTCGAAAAATAATGGCCCTACCACTAATTCCTCATGAGCATATACCCGAAATGTTCAATATTTTGCAGGCTCGGGCTACCACTCCTGCAGGTCAACAGGTTGTTGAGTACGTCCACGATACCTGGATCACGTCTGCGATGTGGCCACCTTCAGCGTGGAGTGTCTACCAGCAGAGCGTAAGAACAAACAATGACGTGGAAGGCTGGCACTTCCACCTTAACCAGCGTGCACACAGGCCGCGGCTGGAGCTGTACAAATTAATTGACCTGCTGCACAAAGAAGCAAAATTCGTCAGCATTCAGCTTAAATTACTTTCAGAAAGAAAGCTGAAACGCCAGCAGCGAAAGAAATATGTGCGAATGCAGGGCAGACTTTTCAAGCTCTGGGATGAATTCGCTTCGGGAGAGAGAACGTGCAGGTCTCTCCTAAGAGCTTGCTCCCATCTTCATGGGCCAGCCCCGCAATAAGTAATGGAATCAACTAAATATTCCCCATATTATCTCATGTTTGGACGATTTCCTAATTTTTTTTCAGAATTTGGCCTGAAAGAGAAACAGGAATTGCACCAGATAGGAAACCCAGCCCTTCCAACAAGAACACCACCACACAAAGATGACGTTGAAGAAAATATTAAAAAGATGAAAGGTATATTTGAGGATGTTTAAAAAAATATAGAGAAGGCACATGAGAAGCAGAAGAAACAGTATACAGCTAGAAAATCAAAAAGGTGTAAGTCATTTGATTTTTCAGTTGGCCAAGAAGTTCTTTGTCGTATTATAAGAGAAAGATTGGAAGGAAAGGTGACAGGTTGGCACATGATTGGCTCGGTCCTTACATTATAGCTAGCATCGTAAATAGTTGTGCAATGTTAAAAGATGCTTTAGGGGATGTATTATAATTTAAAGTGAATTTAAGTCATTTAAAGCCATACAATACAGAAACTAACGAAAAAGAAGGCAGTTGTAAACTACTTCGCCAGTCGTGCCCAAATGTTGCAAAGGCAGCACCTCATGTAAAAGCAGTAAATTGTAAGGATTTTGGCGTTAATAGCGCCCTGATAAGACTTTATGGCGGTGCCAAAAGCCTTAAGGAAAGGGAGGTGTGGTGTAACGATTTTGGCTTCTTACTGTGTGCGCGTGGGCGTGCAGCTTCAGCTTCATTGAATCCTCCGTGGTGTAACGATTTTGGCTTCTCGTCGTGATCTAGTGCACGTTTCGTGTGTCCTCTATACCACGTGACATACCACGGCTAGCGAGTATATAAGGTGCCATATAACCGTTGTTAAGCACTCGACCCGACTCAGGGACGCAGTCACCTGCCGCTGGAGTCTCGCCAGAGTCAGCACTAGCCAACCAGGAAGAGGCACGACGCTCAAGACAACCGGCACCACGAGCTTCGGATCACGTAAGAACACTGAACTATCACGTATGTCGAATGTATATTGTGATTACTAGCACCAATTAAAAGAGGCTACAGTACGTAGCCGAGTACCTTTAATACCCGTGTTTCTGCTCTGTTTTATCGTTGGTTGATCATAACGGAACGCGCCTGGCAGTCGAGGTGCACGACCTGACGTGTCGCCCCTGTGGAACGATCACGGCCTGATCAACCACCACGCCACAGGGGGAAAGCGTTACAAAATAAAAGAAAAGCTAGTTTTGGTGTCGAGGAACACAATACGCCCAGTTTTAACGCAGCTGTCAGTTTGTTTCTTCTGTCAGGAAGTGATACATTTAATGAAGGTGCCGTCGTTGCTAAACGTAGAAAATGTAATAAGGAAGTGATTGAAGTAGCAAATGTACCCCCAATTCAGTAAAAAAAGCTCAGGAAAGTAAACATTGGCTCAGTTCAACTAGAAAATTAGAAATTGGAATCAATTCTGGAAGGATCATGGTTGGCGAGTGATCACTTAGTCTTATGTCTGTTCTTCTTGCTCAGACTCAATCAAGTTTCACTCAGGTTGTGG